GGGGAGGCAATATATGTTTTCTCCTTATCCATCAATTCGCTCTCTAAAGATTTTTGTTCCTCCATCCGTTGTCGCTTCTTTGTCGCAGAATACGAAATAATTAGGCCCCATAAGCTTTGCATGTTTCCCACAAAACAGAGGCAGTACTAGCTGAGGAGGTGTTGATATCCAAAAACGCTTTAAATTCGGCAGAGAAGTGAGAGGTAAATTCCTCATCCTTAAGAATAGTGGTATTAAGCCTCCAGTGAAGCGCAGCTTTAAGATCGAGATCCATGATTACTCTAGCGTGATCTGAGATGATTATACTTGTTATGTCGCACGATACTACCGAACCCAAGTCAGTTTCCGGGAGAAAAAAGTAATAAATTCTAGTTTGGGACCTATGCGGAGCCAAAAAAAATGTGTATTGCTTATTGGAGGGGTGAGTATATCTCCAAGCATCAACAAGTCCAAACTCGTCGCATAGAGTGTGAAGCGCTTTGGCCTGGGGAGAGGGAGTTGCAATGCTATGTGGAAATCTGTCCATAAGCGGATTTAACATTAAGTTGAAATCACCACCAATAATAACGGTAGAGTTAGGAAGAAATGGGGCTAATTCCAGAAACATTTTGGTAAGAAAGGTAGTCGGGTGGGCAGGTGGAAAATAAACATTCAGTAATAAAATATTTTGGCCTTGCAAAATCCCTTTGACTATCACGTAGCGGCCCTTCAGAACTTTAACGCAATCAGTTACTACAAAAGGTACATTTTTCCTAATCAACACTGCCACTCCCCTACTTCTTGTAGTGAAGGATGAAAAAAACACTTGTCCATATAATCCTTGTTGCAACTTCAAGTGCTCATTATTATCAAGATGTGTCTCTTGTAACATAGCAACATCTACACCGTCCTTTCTTAGACAAGTAAATATCTTCCTCCTCTTAATAGGGCTGTGAACCCCTCGTACATTCCAGGTGCATATTCGCAGCCTACTCATTATTAGACTCATTCATGTATCATACAAAGCATATTGAGCCAAAGGGTTCACCACACCCTGGTTGAAAATAAAACAGGGAAAAAAAAAAAAAAAAAAAAAGAAGAGCTGTGTGACGGAACATTCAAAGAACAGTGATTTGGCAACAGCCCTACTAAACATGTAGGGAAAAACCAATCTCCTCCTGCCCGTCGGGGAAGCCGAAGGGCATTGCACGCGCGTAACTCACGTCTATCCATAGACGAAAACACAGTCCGTCCGGTGCCTGATGGGGTGGAAGATTTCACCTGGTCGCTTATAAGCAGCGAGGACGAAAAAAGAGAGTCACATATGCCTAGATTCGGCAAGTACTCACACCGGTTCATAAGGCATAGTGTGAAGAAAAGGAGTACTCCGGTGGTTACGGGGATTCAGGGCAGCGAGTCCGCGTAGGACGCAGCTGCCTCCGGTGTGTTAAATCTCTTCTCCTTGCCGTTGGCAAACAGCCTCAGTGTGGCGGGGTAGAGAAGCGCATAATCCACATTCTTCTTCCTCAGGCAGCTTTTAACCTCGTCGAAAGCCTTGCGTTTCTTGGCTACCGCCGCTGAATAATCATTAAAGAAGGAGACTTTGATCCGACCTGTTGGTTGGTTCGGCTGCGTAGCCAGGCGCCGAGCTGCGGCCATCACACGTTGTTTATCAGCAAAGTTGTGAAGCTTCATAATGATGGGTCTGGCGCGCTGGCTGGGGCCCGGCCTCGGTGCTAGAGAGCGGTGAGCGCGGTCTAGTTTGATCTTCCCATTTTTAGTTGTGAGCTCGAGATAGGAGGGGAGCCATGACTCCATGAAGGCGACAACATCATTTGCCTCCGTGCCCTCGGGAAGCCCGACCAGGCGAAGGTTACATCTGCGGCTGCGGTTGTGGTCTGCCATGTCAGTTACTTGTTTTTCGAGTCGAGCCACTTTCGCCTGCAATACACCTGCCGTGTCTTCCACGCCTGAAATCCGTATCTCGGCGTCTCCCACCCGTGTCGCCAGAGCCTGGATCCGAGACGTCTGTTCACGGATTGCAGCCAGCACAGTATCAACTTTAACATCCAACAAAGTTGTAATGCTGTCAGTTATCTTACTCAAAGCCGCAAGGATATTCGGGTCGATATCACTCCCAGTTTCCTCAGCGTCAGCGGAGATTTCTGTGTCGCTGGCGTTAGCTTCTTCAGGCTCAGCCGCCATAGGACCCACAATGTCGCTAGCTTGCACAACCGGAGCTGTCTTTTTCTTAGACCTGACGTTAGGCATTTTAGAAAAATAGTCGTCCACACTCATTATAGAGTTACTCCCACGCACATTTGTAACGTTTCACCAGGTGAACACGTATTTTAGACGGATAATCGAGGGACCTCACCGGAGCACAGTGAGACGGGTGTTCACACTACGACGCCATCTTGCCACAAGTTTCTCCATAATCAAACTTAACTTGATATTTTGAAATGACATTTTTATACTCAGTGCCCTGATTTAAGAAGCTCAAAACTAACAAGACAAACATATTTGAAATACAAGACAGTGTAGAGCTGTTCCTGACTGTCACCGGAGGCTCGCACCCTGTTGTTAACTCATTCACTGCCATTGACGGCTATAGACGTCAATGGCAGTGAATGAGTCAATGGGTTTAACTCATTCACTGCCAATGGCTGGCAGTGAATGAGTTAACTTTCCATTTTGAAGACCTACAGTGATCCTCCTGACTTGGTTAGGTGTTGTTTTTCTGAGAATATATTTCTGTCGTCATGCTCTTCAGTTGTCTTTTATCATTTCTCAAGTCTCTAATATTCCTGCTGTGGCTCCGATTGCTTTCTTTTTCAATGTGCACTCACACTGAAATAATTTTTGGCCTTCATCTTTAAAATGACAGTGAAAAGCAATAAATTACAAATAAAAACTTTGAATCAATTTTTTTTGTAATTTATTTATTGAAAAAAGAAAACAACACAGTACTTGCACTTACCGAAATACAATTAACCAGGCAATACCTCTACACCAGTAAAATAAGAGATAAAGGGTTGCCACTTGTGGAAAAATTTGGCTGTGCAACCTCTCAACGTATATTTTATTTTTTCAAGTTTTAAAAACAAAAAACAAAAAAAACATAACATCTTTAAGCCACCGGGAACTAGTTGGATACTTAACAGACTTCCACTGCAACAATATTAGACGTCTCGCTAACAGGGATGTGAAGGCTATGATATCTTTTTGTGTAGAGTCAAGTGTAAGTGAGCGATCAGGAATCCCAAATACAGCAATCAGGAATGAAGAGTTACCCCAAGAACAGCTGACATAATAGCAAAATACCTGTCCAGAAACCTTCCAGCTCAGGACACAGAAAAGACGTGGCTAAGGTGACAAGGAGAGCCGTGGCAGTTATCACATTTGTTTTCCACTTCTAGTTACAATTCAAAAAGTCTAGACTTAGAGAAATGCGCCCTGTGTATGACCTTAAATTGAATAGGTCCAAGACGAGCGCAGGAGGTGGAAGATCGTACCCTCGTGATAGCCTGTTCCCAAGACTCCTCATGTATTCGAATTCCTAGTTCCCCTTCCCATGGACACTTAAGCTTAACATTAGAGTGGTTACTAAAAGACAGGATAGTATCATAGAGTTTCGAAATGGTTCCTCTGTGATGAGGAATAAATGATAGCGTAGTTTCCCACTGCTGTTAAGTATTACCATGAAATAATGAGGGAACGGACCCCTGTCCAGCTGCGTTAGAGTCTCTAATAATGGAGGATTGTGCGTACAATCTAAAACGTCTCAAGCTTCAAGTTCGCACTTCTTCAGTTACACCTATAAAGTCTGTTGTGGTGGTGAGCAGTGAGGTTAAACTGCAAAAACTTTGTCCGGTAAACGCTGGCCGTGTCTGCACGGCGATGTGTTTGAAGCAGTCTCAGGCACTGACTTGTTGAACTCACACTTCATATTGTTTCTGCAGACGGCCACACGGAGGCGTGTCCACACTGAACGCTTCCACGAGACTGGAGCGTCTCCAGTCTTCTCCGTGACTTTCACACAAACTGAGGCCGGACATCATATCTGCTCAAACGCACAGATCACTTCAGGAGCGCACACGAGCTCGGACGCAGAACGAAACCGACTGTAAGGAGCAGCTAGTTAGCAGTCGAGTGTTTTAATGTTCCATTTTAAACCAACGGTGGTTAAAAAAATTCAGCTGATAACTGTCAGCGCTCTCCTCTGGTCCTCTGCGTCCAAACTGCTTCTGTTCCCCTGCCTTTTTAGAAGTGGTCTGTGGTTCAATATCTGGCCTGTGGACACCTGTGGACCAGAGCAGGCAGTCTTTGAAGTGGCAGCTGACCCGCTTTAACTTCTGAACCACAGCCACCTGCTGTCTTTGCTCAGTATTCAGCCAATGAAAACCTGCCATACAACAGACTTCCATTGGTGTGCTGAGGTCAGCTGATCTGCCGCACCTCGCCCCGTTCTTCCTCAGCTTCCAGTTTACATTTCATTTTTCACGTTTTGTCATGTGACCTTTAGTTTGGTTTGTTTTGTGCCCGTCTGAATGACCCAAAGATAAAAAAAAAAACAACAACAAAAAACCCCGTTGACAATGGGTTTAATACACATTGAAACTTTATTTAAAACTACTGTAATAAACAAATAGAAAAAAACAAGGCGTTTCCCGCGTGCTCTGTCACTTCCTCCTGAACCTGGCAGATAGAGCAGAGTGTCAGCCATCTTTACCTCATTCAGGTCAGTGTGACACCAGAGAGAACAGGTGAAACTTACCTGGAACTGCCAGGTCGCTTCCTGTCCACACCCAGACGCTTCCTGTCTGCAAAGGACGGTCTGTAAGGGAGAGAGACAGTGAGACAGACGGGACAGATGGACAGACAGTGAGACAGCTGGCTACCTGTACGTACCCTGCTCGGTACTGCTTCAGGGCCTTACTGCTGGTGTTTGTCAGCTCTTTGTCAAACACCGACTTCTTGCCTCCTTTTCCTGCTTTCTGATTGGCTGCTGCACACAGAGGATTGGTGAGAGCGAGGACATTATCAGGGTTAGTGTGTTTGTTAGCGTGTTTACAGCATCATACCTTTAGTTGGCGCTTCATCCTCTGGCATCGCCCTCGCCCTCTTTGGTCGGCGCTCTCTTTTGGCTGCTCGCTCAGCAAACATCTGGGCCTTCAAAATCTCGAACTGAGCACGCTCCTCAGACTGACAGACAGGTAACAGGTAAGCAGGTGATTGATCGGAGGTGAGTACTGATTAATGCTGGATCGTTTTTTACCGTCAGCTCCTTTTTCCTGCCGTCCTTCAGGAACTTCTCTCTCTTCTTCTTCCCTCTAACGGCAAGATCAAACTCCTGCAGAGCCTTTGACACTGAACAAAGTACTACCGTTACACAAATGGTACTCCACTGTACTAATCAATACTCTGATATATTAACTATATGAACTGATACTGGGGCGATCGTGGCTCAGGGGGTTGGGAATCGCATCTGTTTTTTGTTTTTTTTTGTTTTTTTTTTAAAATGACATCAGAAACAGCAGTATGCGACATTACGTGATGGCAGAGCTTCAGTTCATCCTTTGTCATTTTT